ATTTTACAAAAATGTAAACAACACTCCTTATTCCTCGCGACGCCAAAATAATACATCATCGAGGTAATTCCTCGCAACTATAAAATTTACATCACCGAGACGCTTCTTCCTCGCAACGATGATTGGATATTTTTGTGTCTGTTTATTATGCGTTTTGTTGGGGTAACCAGTTCGCGGTATGCTAAACTTTCAAAGTAAATTGTTTTTTTCTTAAGTAACCAATCACTTGAATTATGATATAATTTGACAGAATGTAAGCTCTTTGTTTGAATCATTGAAAACGTGTGGCAAATATTATTCTCTAATCTCACAATTTTAACTTCAGTAATTTTCCTTTTATTTGTTGCATAATTTTCATTGAACGTAAATTTTATTAATTGCAGCTTTAACCTCACATAATACTTTTATTTGCACAAGTTTATTTCACACCAGACCTTTTGTTTCATAAATCTTTGCTAGTTTTGTTTTGTAAATATTTTGTTGATGAATGTTTCCATTGTATAAATAAATTATTTGGTGTCCAATTTTAATCTCACATAAGAATTATTTGTGGTTTAAAATGTCACAAGACTGTATGGCGAATTTAAATGTTGTTTACTGCTCTTTGAAACTTTAACACTCGTTCAGTTGTTGTTAATGTCAGAGTTATTAGAGATTGAACATTTAAAAATGGAATTGAGGTTAAATGACACAGAAAACGTGGCAGAAGCGAAGTGCGGTTCTTAGTCGAGCTGGCGAGATTTATCGTGTCACCTGTACAAGTCCACAGGTTTGGATAGATTCAGGGGCTGCCGCCGATGTTGTAACGTTCTCGGCTTCGTGCTAGCCTAGATTCATCTACGGGTCTGGCGACCGTAATGGCATAGTTTCGCACAGCATGTTCGTGATGGAGATGTGCGTGCGGGTAGGCTTTGCGATAGATAGAATCACCGTCGAGGGGGGGAGAACAGCCCCAGACCGGTAGCCCCAAACTCCGCTAGTGCTAGCACACCCCAGGGGTACTTTTGTTGTGCTCCTGTTAACTGCCGTAACTTGCATCCAGTTACTTTAATTCAGATTTTGCTTTGTTGTTTTATTAAATTTGAGATATTCAAATATTTGCATTGATTCCGAACAGATGTATAGGATTTTGCGTTTGTTCGTTTTCATATTTTTTATGTTTGTTTTTTTCTTTCATATATCTCAAGGTGTTTCATTTGAAATGTAATATATCCGTGAATATACGATAAGGGGTTTTTGGAGCTGAGGAGTGAATCCTCGCAGCTTCTTTCCTCCTGAGAGGGGTGCCATGTTAGCCCCTCCAAAACAACTTTGTCTCTTATCTCTTGCGCTCTCCACACACGCAGTGCGCTCACTTGTAGGAAAGAACGTCTTCCCGCCACTTTTCAAAAAAAAAAACCACACAATGTATGTTCCCATTTGTTAGACGATCACAGCCAAGGCCAAATTTTGAATTTTTGATTTTTTCGCGGGCCTTTCAAACTTTTTCAAGGTCAATTTAAAGGCGGGAAGTTTGGGTTATCACAGTACATATTTCTAACTTGAAAAATGACCAATTTCCATACAATCTTCCATCCCCTATTCAACCCCTTTTAGAGGATGTATCTACGTTATACAGGGACATTTTTTTAACTCTGAACATAGACCGTAAATGGCCTATGTTGTTTTAAAAACCACACATCAATGCATCGGTAACTATGCAACCAACATTACGCATGTCCACTACCATGTCGCCTAGAAGATGAAGGTGGTCACTTCGAGTATTTATTAAAGTAAATGTCGTACTTGTTTCTGTTGGTAAATAAATTTCACATGTTCGTTAATCGTGTTTACTTCAGTCTGCTTGAATGTTGAATGATACTAATGACAGCACAATGACAGTTTGCAACACCATTTTGTAATAAAGCGAAGTTATGCAACCAATATTACATGTATTGATGTATGTTTTTAAAATTGAACATAGACATAGGCCATGTACGGTTTATTGTTAAAAAATATCTTTGTATATGGGAACTCCCGTGCAAAATTTCATACTTCTAGACCCACTCGTTACCAGTGGCGGCTCATGATTCTAGAGGTTGGGGGGTCAAATAAGATTTAAAAAAGCTGATGCTAAATTTATTTTACGGATGTTTTTATTTTTCCAGAAAATATTTTTATATAGTATAAAACATATTATTTAATTAAATCTGCTTATATTTAAGTTCAATTCGTCTGTTTTTTTGATTGGCAAAATGGTTAGTCACTTGTTCATTAAAACTAAAAATGCCTCTAATAAAAGATTTTTCAAGGCTCAACATTGCTAGGGAACTTAACCTCGATTCCCCCATTGTGTTACGTAAAAACGTCTTAATTCTTTTCAAAGTTGAGAATGTTCTTTCACTCTCAACCGTCGTCATGGGTAAAGTGCATAAAATTTTCAGTAATTTTACACTTTCTGAAAATGTTTCGACAAGATTCATGTTTACAAATAACTGAAGAATTGGAATAGCACCAGCTGCTTCATTAAATTCGTCTCGTTGGTACACAATCTCTAATTCGGATTTTAACTTGGATGTATTTATCCATGGGTAATTCCTACTAACGGATTTTAAAAGTGAGTCTGGAAATGTTCTTCTATAAATAGTAAATTTCTCTGGATAAAACAGTTGTGCGATAATTAGATGGTCTGTAAAGTTAAGTCTTTCTTTAATTTCCTTTAAAATTATGTCGAGAACTTCAGTTGCAATTCGGTGTAAGGGATCTGAATCCTCTATTTTTCTTCTTTTGCTGGTACTTGGGTTATGTGTAACATCCAAATGTTGCGTTCTTAACTGCTGCACATGGTCTTCAAATTTTGAAATAAAATTTTTGACAGATGTAGCATCAATATCTCGCTTTTGCAACTGTTGGTATAAAATTTCTACATGTGGCATCAGACGATGGAAAAAGTTCAGCCAATAAATAAATTTGCTGTCCTTTAAATAATTGATTAAACCAATGCACTGATTTAAAGTACTGTTTTCTGATTCCATCTCCAAAATTTTCTCCAAACAATTTAGAAGGTCTGTTTTGTATGTGTAGACCGTTTCTACACATCTACTGTTGAAACACCATCTTGTTGGTGCTGACTTGGGTAATCGAATTTTTACAAATTCATCCAACATCGATGTACGTTTTGGAGATTTTCCAAAAAATGCTGAAAAGGCTTGCAAGTTTGCAAAAAATATTTTAATCTGTTTATCTTGACAACATGCTTTTTGGAGTATCAAGTTGAGCTGGTGAGCATAACAGTGTATGAAGTGCGCATTTTTATAAATTTCTTTAACTTTTTTTTGAACTTCCCCTAATCTACTACTCATAACTGATGCTCGATCGTAACTTTGAGCAACCAATTTCTCTGGCTTTTCTCGGATTTTCAATACTTCCAAGACTTTCAGAATTTCGTCCGTTAATTCCTGCGCTGTTGTGCCCGGTGGATTAATAAATGTCCAAAATCTTTCATAAACTGTACCTCCTACCACATATCTCAGAATAAATGTCATTTGAGCTTTGTCGGACACGTCGGTTGTTTCGTCTACCTGTATGGCCAAATAATCTGTCTGTTCGATTTCTGATTTGACTTGCTCCTGATATACGGCGAGCATTGAATCCAGAAGTTCATTTTGAATAGTTTTCGAAACACCTTTAAATCCCGTATTTTGTTGAAGATGTTCTTTGAAAATAGTATCAACCTCGGCAAGTAAATCTACTAAGCCTCGAAACACTCCTGGATTTTCAGAAGATTCCTCCTCATGGTGTCCACGTAGTGCCAATTCAAACGCTCCGCAGAATTTTACGCATTCGATAATTCTGTTTAGAATATATCTGTTTTTTTTAACTTGTTTGTTAAAATCCGCAATTGTTTGTCTATGAGCACTACTCAATTGCAGTCTGATATCAGTTCGCCCGAGAGCAGCTAAACTCATCGAACTCATCAAATGTGTCCCTGCAGTTGAATGTTTCTTTATTTTTTCCTTTAAATGTTTAATGTCTTTCACGCCCGTTTTGGTCCACAGTGATTCATTTGAAAACAGAAGGCACGGAAAACAGAAAAAAGCATTTTGCACTTCACACCCGCAAATCCAGTCACAAAGATTATACATCGAATTATTAAAACGACGATTAACGTCTTTACCTCTGTCCTTTACGGTTTGTTTTAAACTAAGTGATGGTTTCGGACGCCCACCGGCTTTAATTTCCACTCTTTTTTCAAAATTGAGTCCATTGTTTTGTTTTAAATTTAAAATATACTCCACAGAAACAGACATTGCTAATAATAATCACTGCTTATAAAATGTTCCAACTACCGACGGCTACTGCAGCACAACAAAAAATAAACACACTGCATGTGATAATTCCTGGAAATGTTGTTTTGCCAGTTCGTAATTAATCGGTTAGTGGTGTTGGTACGAAATCGGAAACGTGCGACAGTCTTGGGCCGTCGACAACTCGACACTATTGTAAGTATGCTGAGCATATTCTGTACCTTGTCTGATATGTTGAATCGCACTAAAGCCTATCTCTGTCTTACGTAAATGCAGTTTCCACATATCCTATAAGTCTCCATAAGCGACTGTAGAGTCGAATCTGAAATCCGACTGCACGGGAACCTCGGTCTCCTATCGCGCTTGGAGGTGGACGGGATCCACTCATCGCTTAGGGTAAAAATGATCAAAAATAAAATATCGGATAATAAATGGAGTAATATGTAATAAAAAATAATATTTTTTATTTGTAAAAATATTTGGGGAGGCATTGTCCCAACGAGCTTATGGACAAGCCGCCACTGCTCGTTACTCGTTTCAGCCATAGGTATTCAGCTGTGCGTTGTCTGTCAGTCAGTGTGTTAAAGTTTTATTCATGGACAAATGAATATAATATAATATATTATTTCCTCCATGGTTTTATTAAGTAAATACTTAGGCACAGGATAAAGATCATGATAATCCGATTTCTATGCTGTAGTATATTAACTATTATGCAACACGTAATTCAAAGTATGAGTATTGTGTCTCATCAACAATTTCACAGATGGAATGATAAGAAAATAAAAGTCACTAAAACGAAGTGTCAGTCTTCATCTCTTGATAATAATTTAAGGTTAGTTTTAACTGTTTTGCATTTGTTTTGTTTTTAGTGCAATATATTTCTTGGCTCCAAATTTGCATGTTGAGTTGCAGAAATTTATAAAAATAACAACAGGTAAGAACTGACATCACTATATAACCATGTCGTAAAGAAAAAGCAATTTTATAGTTGGCACATGCAACGTCATAGCAGAGATACAATAATACAGCCACTATAATATATAGAACATAACACCAACAATGTCTTCAGTGTTACTCTCTTTACCAGAAATTTTTGCGTCGTACAAAAACTGGGTAAGTCAGAATCCACAGTCCATAAGCGATTGTGAAACAACAGCAAAGTGGATTTCATATTTTATTGCTGGTAAATCCTACTAAAATATATAACTGTTTAAAAATTGTTATAATTTTAAATTGTAGGAAAAATCAACAGTTCACATGTGCTCTCAGAGCTTGTGTATTGTTTATCAAATCTTCTGGTACTTCTTAATGACAGAATTATAAATAATGCAAAACAGCTAGAGATTCCTGGATCAGGAGATACTTTAAAGTTGTGGCTTACAGTTGTTGAATATTGTGAAGTTCTGTTTGAGTTATCGGCTCAAAAAATTTGGGGAAATCGAGGAAAATGGTTAATCATTGTAGGTGTACAGATTTTCAAGTGGGTGTCTTATCAATTTGGTTATTTTAAATTACTTGATTTATTTGTAGATGTGTGTCAAGATTAATTCTTATTTACAATCATAAAGAAACCATAATACAAACACCCCCAATACCTTTATTGGATAGAGCAAAGTTAAGTAAAGTCCCCCCTAACTATGGTTCAGTACGAGATATAGCTCAAGCACAAATGGATTCCATATCATTTACTTTAAAAGGCTCGGGAAGGGTGATCAGGAGAGTTGATGCTTCCCCCCCTATTCACGTTCGTACCTGGAGGCCTCTACAGGTCCAAGAACCCTGTGATAATGATCAAACAATAGAGCAGGCATTAGCAGGTCGCCAGCTTATTGCAGAAACTATTTATATTATGAAACCTATAGCGCACTTAACTTCAGTTGCTTGTTTTGGAAGTAACTCATGGAAGCCCTGGATTGTAGCACTTGCTCTAGATTTAACAAGGTAAGACTGATGTTTTATAAAACAAATGTACTTATATTATTTTACAGTCTGCAATTGTATGGATCCTGCAAAAAAGCAAAAGTCAACTCCTTGACACCTAAACAGAGATTGCAGATATCAAAAAGAAGTTTTCTGCTTGTGATGTATTTATTAAGGTCACCTTTTTATGACAATTATAGTGAAGATAAATTGAATGCTTTGTTAAATTCATTGAGTAAAAATGTGCCTCTTGCCAAATTAATTTGTAATCCATTACTACAATATTTGCCTTTCTGGCAAAGCAACTATTTTTATATGTGGTCCACATAAGGGTGTAAGGTAGGGATCTTCGTGCTTTCACACAGGGTTCATAATTTTCACAGTTATAAGATTACAGCTGTACGTTCCATTTTTTTTTTTTATTAAGTATGTGAAAATCATTATTTTATTAATAAATGTCATGGTTTTGTTAAATTTTCATTTACTTCCCATTGTTAATTGCTTAATTCCTTACTTAAATATTATTTTATCAGAAGTAGGATTTATGACATGGTGACACAGTATAGATATCAATTTGATCTTGATTGATCTCTATACTGTGATGGTGATAACTTAGTTAGGAGTGTATGCAACACTCATTATAGATTTAAGTTTCTACAGGTCTACATAGATGAGTAGAGGCACAGATTGTAGAAGATACATGCAAAGTCTGACTTTTACCGAAAGATTAGGAATATAGCAGTTCTGCTAAATTCTGCATTATTTGATACATAAATTTTTATTTTAGGTTGTCGTACGACTTGATTTCTATAAAAATTATGAACTGTTATATATATCATAATGTTATGTAAATTATAACATAAATTACAAACGAAGACTTACGTCGTTTATAATAATGCGAACACCGAACAACCCGCCCGGCTTCACACGTTTGCACACATATGTAACGCGGATGTTGCATGTGTGTTTTTTGTGTTGCATAGAGAATATCGGAATCGGTTTTCAAAGTTTAGTTTTTAGTTTTTTTACCCAGTTTAGACAAAACCTTCCTCGTGAATCACTTTATATCTACTAGTGAAAACCGCATAAACATCCGTACAGTAATTTTTGAGATTATCGCGTACAGACAGACAACCAGTCAAAGACTTTTGTTTTATAACTACAATGGGACATACTTAAATTAATTTAGAATTTTGCCTAAAACTGAGCGTTTGAGTTAGCCTACTTACGTATTTTAATTATATAACAACAACAAACAACTACGGGTCTTTCTAGATTAGTGGAAGAAACATTTTAGTATTTGTCTATAAAAACGAACTTAAAATAGCTAGATATAGAAATGGAAAAATCACGACAAAGAACATTTCCGTCAAGATTTTCAAGAGATTTATAAATTGTAAGTAGCACAGACGAAGATTATAACTTATTATAATGTTACGAAATAAACCCATACGTCGCGCCGGTACAACGCCTGTGGGTTTTCTCGAGGCCTTTCTAGTATGTTTGGCGATGATGGCTAACTCATCGTCGGTGACGGCGGCCGAGCAGCGTTCGGTAAAGTAAATAACCCTGGAAGTGGAAGTCGCGATGGTTACTTTAGAAAAACCTCGACCACGAAACATCTAGTAAAGAAATATGGGTTTTAATACCTTCGGGGTCGATTATTATTCAGTCAATTCAGTGAATAGAGAATCCAGTCAAGTTTCACCGGAATTATTTTGTACACAATCGCTGTGCAATTAGTCATGTAAATTTGAGTTACTGAGAAATAAATTGTTGAGTTTAATTCACCCCCGTTTTTTAAATACCCATTCAACGTAACAATAACGTACACACAAATATCAGCACTTGAATACAACCGTGCAGGGATACACGGTTCAGCGTCACTAATTGCGGATAGGTGGAGTGGTGCAGTGTAATGCCAGTAATGCTATTAATAACAGTATATTGTACTCCCAAATTATCGGGATAATGGAGTAAGCCGTTTCTGACTTAATAAAAAAATATATAGTCGACATATTCAAAAAATTTTAGCATAATGATATAATTCACAAGTGTAGATTCAGCATATTTTGCACATTTTGTATAGGACTTATTTGGCAAAATTTTGACATGTGGTCATCAATTTGGAGAGGGGGAATAAACAGATGTAATTTGATCAAAAATTTATCATGGTTACGATAAGTTTAAAGTGTCTGCAAGATTTTAAAGCATTCGCTTGTGCAGTTCCTGATTTAATCAATAAGATAAATTGAAACTTTGAGACAAAAAAAATTCAACAGTTATCTTTAAGCTAGTGCACGCAAGTTTTTGAAAGAAAATCAAAGTTGAACAAAATTACAAAATCGCACAACCAACCTTCCACCGTGATCGGTGGCCTATTTAACTGGTGTGTGTTTTTCAGATTTTAGCGAGTTTGTTGTCTAATTTAATTGTTGAACGGCACTTTTTTAGAGATTACCGGCACTCAGATGGTGGCGGGTTCGCCTGATTTTCTGAGTAAAAACCAAGCAATAGTATTTATTGCGTTCGAAAATTGATTGGTGTTCGGTTACGTTATAGCAATAGGTAATATTGTTACTCCAAAAAATGTTAGATTTGCCTCCAAAATGTCCAAAGGCCGTTATTACATTTATCTTCGAAACAGTTGATAGAATAATTGATGAATCGGTACCTACGTCGATTAATAACGCAGGGCGCCTTGTCATTCTCTCTAATGTATGCCCCTCGATTCCGCATGCTTGTCTTTGAGAATTAAATTAAGAGCCTTGGTTTTACAATAATAACTGTATCAACGATGTGCTTTCTAAGAACGGGAATACAAAATACTTTGTATGCGCATGTCCTTAGTTTTCGCAGGCAGATACATCTATATTAATAAAAATGAATCGCCGAAATGTATGTACGCTCATAACTTCAGAACGGCTGACCGAATTGGACGATTCTTTTTTTTACGTGTTCCTTATTGTCAGGACAAGGTTTATATGTAAGAAAATTTATAAAAAATAAGACGGCTAAAAGATTAAAATAAAATAAAAATTTTGCATGGGAATCGCCATTGGGTGGTATGGATAAAACTGAGTAGATACTCATATTCGAAGTACGAAGTACCTACTTGCAAACATTGTATCTCCCCGGACACAAATTGAACATCTACGCGTTTTGTGAGCATTTAATTTAAAAATGAGCATTGGTGTGGCAAATGACTATTTGTCCTTATAAATAATAAATTAAATGTAATATATTTTTGTTTCCTTAAGAATACAAAGTTAACAAAGTTAGTTGAGTTACAAAAGTCTCTTTTGCTCCACGTTGGCCACCAACGAGCGATTTTCAAGATGTTTGTGAAACTTTGCTGGTTTTGAATTTGAATTTTCTGTCCTCGATAGTTGATGCTCAGCAAGAACCACGGGAAGGTCTGGAGCAGATCTCGCTAGGAAAGGAGAGGGCTAGGATTTGTTAATGAGGGATAGAACGTTATACAGTATAATACAATGGAAATACAATACAGGTACCTACAATCTAACTGCAATACAGAATACACTACAGATACAGATACAATTCAGATACAATACAAATGCAAAGTTAGTAGCCAATACACCACCGGAAGAAATTGCACCAAAAATTGAGAATGTTGCAAAATGAAAACCCAAGCAAGCACACCGATGGAACTCGGAACGAAATCTATTGGTCGCAGTGCTCGTTCGCCCAAGGCAGGAATGCAGCCGCATAAATCCAAGGCCGACTGACCTCATCCTTATAGGATGATGCGACCCAGCGTCTAAGGGCCAATAGAACCCCCCCAGACCAAGAGCTCCTGACCACATGGAGAATTCAGACCTGGAACCAAAGGATGCGTTGTTGCAAAATGAAAACCCAAGCAAGCACACCGATGGAACTCGAAACGAAATCTCTAGGTCGCAGCGCTCACACGCCCAAGGGAGAACGCAGCCGCATAGATACAGGGCCGACTGACCTCATCCCTTTGGGATGATAAACCTCATCCTTTTAGGATGATGACCCAGCGTCTAAGGGCCCAGAGAACCCCCCCAGGCCAAAGCGTCTGACGACATGGAGAATTCAGTCTCGGAACCAAAGAATGCACTGTTGCAAAATTAAAACCCAAGCAAATGCACCGTGAAAACAAAGCATTTGCACCACTGGAGCTAAATTGGCAAGACCCAAGTTAAGTTAGTAACACATACAATATACAGTACAAAATGCTTCAATTACAAAAGTTACAATATACAAATTTCTCCACGTTTGCCACCAAAGAGCGATGACTTTGCTCGCTCGTTGCTGTTGCCCAGCAAGAACCAAACAATACGAGGAGGTCTGGAGTGCGTCTTGCCATTAAAAGAGAGGACTAAGGTTTGATAGCATGGGTGAAGGACACCGTATTTTGTAAATTTGGACGCCGTACTTTAAAAATGATGAATACGGTATTTTGTGAATTATGAACGCAGTACTTTGTATATTCTAAAGGCGTACTTTATCAGTCCTGAATGCATGTTATTAACAACATATTTCAAAATCGGGCATTTTTGGAAAAATATCCAGTTTCCTTCGTGTTCACAGCACCAACACAACATATTTTCCGTAATATATATTAATAATAAACTAGAAATTCGCTAAAACGCTCCACTTTTACGTCGAAATGAAGCGACGATCTTGCCGCCATCAAACAGAAATTAAAACTGAACACAAAGGACCGAAACACGTGACCTTTATACAAGTAGCTCAGGTGACATTGACGTCATCGTACGTCACGATGAGATTGCAAAATTTATTTTTCATATTTTGGCCGGGAAAATGCACATTTTCGGGGATAATTTAACATTGTTTAAACAAATTGATTTGTTTTTAATAATTTCGGGCTTGTAGGACAACGGGTTTCGGTTTAATTATCATACATTGATGCTTATCATATTTAAACATTATAAATGATATTAATTATGTTTAAAAATTATTTATTTATGTCGTGAAAATGTATAGCTTTGATCAACCGATTTCAATCGTTTCGAAAATTTTCCCAAAATTTAAATATTGTCGAGTGAACGAATCACGGAATCCGATAAATTAAAACTGAACTCGAACTTACCCTGTTTTCGGTCCTTTTCGAAAAAATATCCATTTTCGTTCGTGTTCACAGTACTATTACAACACATTTTCACTAATATTTAAATATATAAATTAGAAATTCGTGAAAAGAGCCCTACTTTTAAGCCAAAACGGACTCTGATGTTGCTACCACCAAACCGAAATCAAAACTAAACGTAGAGGACCGAAAAATGTGACCTTTTATCAGGTGGCTCACGTGACAGTGGCGTCATCGTACGTCACGATGAGATTGCAAAAATTATTTTTCATATTTTCGCTCAGAAATTGTACATGTTCGGGGTTAATTTAACAATGTTTAAACAAACTAATTTGTTTTTGCTAACCTCGTGTTCTTAGGAAAATGGTTTTCGGTT